GGCCCCGCGGTTTTCCGCCGATGCTAGGCTCCTGTGACTTGTTGTTGTTGTGTGTATCCCCCTGCCGGGGCCAGGGCCGGGGCCCAGGATGGCTTTTGTACGAGCGTTCAAACAGTGCTGCACTCATGAAGCTAGATAAATGGACTAGAGGGGCACATATATAGGCGGGCATCTTTGGAAGAAGACAACGGAGATGTTGAAGGGAATTCGGGGTTGGAAGAGGAGGAGGGTGAAGGGATAGAAAGAGGCAAAGACGTTTGTGTTGTTGGACTACAAGGGGTCAAGTCTGCTGTAAGAATAGCCTGCTTCTGCCAAAAAAGACAAGACAGTGATAAACTTTCCTGCCCATGCATTCACTTCTCTCCCCCTCACTCTCCCTGTTACACACACGCACACACATACACACACGTCACAACATACAATTCACTACTAAAATGAATGGCTTGCCACAGTGTGACACGTCTCAGTTGCAGGGGGAGATGGTCCTTGTCTGCCAACAAAAGACTGCGGTATTACGGGGGGCCACAGCCTGTGACAGAATGCTAAATTGTTTTAAGGTCAACAACTTATTGTCTTTGCATGAGCCACAATTCACACATCTCCAGAATAGGTTTTGGCTCTCAGGCCTCAGTTGAACATAACAAAAACTCAAAGAGATGTGGCCCTTCAGATTTTACTGGAACTAGTTCTGATGCGTTGTGTTTCTTAATTCCAGCAAACAACCTAATTTTATTCTGGTGGCGGGTAAATGGATTTATGAAAGATTGTATGGTAGTTATTATTTTGAATAGTAATGAACTTATCACTCTAGCCATTATAGAGCAATTACCATAATAAAAGTATTAGTTACTGAGTCTGACAATGACTGTAGTGTTTTAAAAATCTCATTGTATTTTGTATTTACCTCTGAAATACCAAAGAGCATTATCCTCTAGCTCTATATTTACATTTAATTCATTTATCTACTCTTCTTTTTCATGTCATGGTCTTTATTTTCTTTTCCTCCCCTACATCCCTGGCCCAGGGCGTCCGGGGAAAAAATGGCTGGAAGTGACAGCCTAATTATCAGCTCCAACTCTGCTCATTACCCATTAGACAATCCACTGTACATCCACTTACTAAATGAATAATTTTGTATATATTATGGAAACACAATATTATGGCCTGCAGCTAACGCCTTTGCACTAACCTCACGCTGTGTCAGTACAAAAGAAATAAATGGGACACCGAAAGGTTATTTAATTTTAGCCCCAAAAGCCAGCTCATGAGAGGATGTCATGTGCAAATGGAGCGTGGAGGGAGGAAGGGAGGGGGATATGAAATTTACACACCTGCCTTTTTTCCTCGGCCATATTACAATCATTATTGCCAAAGCACGTGTTGTAGCATAAGTGAAATTGATAAGAGTCAGTTCGGGCTCCTCATGGCTTAATTTGATTCTAATTTCGACCAAGCAATACTTAATAACAGGGCTAGGACCCATTGTATCACCACACAGTGCAATTTTTCTGTACCAACAGTGCTGCAAAAAGGAGAGAGAAGGAAACAAAAAGGTGACTGTTAAGTTAATATTGACACCAGCATATTAAATGTCCTTGGTGGAGTAATCATATAATTGTGATTTTGGAATTAAAAGAAACCTCTTTGCATACAGTGTTATGACGCATTTGTAAGGTAAAGGATGTATCTATGTAAGATGTAACTATAACAGCTGAATGAACCCGCTCCGATCAGCAGAGCCTTCCGTGACCTTTGTTAATTTTTCAACACAGCCCTCCACTGCGCCACTGTTTAGCGCATGGCCGTTTAAGTGACACAGATTTATGCGCATAAACGTCCCCCTCTGCCACCCAGATATGGTCTAGTCAACGTTTACCGAGCATTTAGAAGAAGAAGAAGAAATCACTGTTGCCCTTTTGCACGATGCTGTAACGTTTATAGACTTGTACAATTATTTGTAATGCCTTCATTTGGAAGCTCTGCAGGGTTTTCAAGCGGTAAAAATACTGCCTTTACAAACAGCAAAGGACTTATTGTACATTAGAATTTGAAATGAACTATTATTTTGGGTCCTAATGAATTAATAGCACTAATACTAATAATAACGATATGTTTCTAGATGTCTAATGTTTTACCTGAACTTGGTGTCATAGTCTTCCCACAAATACTTTTCTCTTTTGGTTTTGTGTGTTCCTCTAGAACTATGACAGCACAGTCCTGCTAAGAGTTGGAATCAAACCATAAAGCACGTTGTGCATTGTGTGCAATAGTACAGTTATAGTGCAAGTATTTTCATGTTGGAGGCTGAAAGCTGTCCCAGTCTTTAGTGAGCTTTCCCTCGCCTATAGAGGTCGCTATCATATTGCAAAACAGATGTGCCTAAGTACCTCTACAGGTTAGGGCCACTTAGATCATACGCACGGCGGAACAGCACAGCTTACTATCATTTACTCAGATGTCTTAACTCAGGCTGAACATTTTCTCACAATATAGCTGTTAATTTAGGACAAAGATTAAAAATTTTATGTGTGGAATTGTTTTGAATCAGGCTATAACATGGTAAAAAGAACTAACTCATTAACAAAAAAGAACTGGATTCTAGGCTCATGTAAATCAAACGAAAAAAGAGAAAAATATAATGCACACATTTTGCCAAATCCCAGCTAATTATTGCATTTTCCTCTTATTATGTTTCAACCCCAACAAGCTGTTGTGAAAAGTCAATATTTGCTTGTGGTCACCGACTGAAAAGCAAAGAAGCTGCTTTTCTAGGCTAATGATCCCCATGGTCCTCGGAACAGACAGGACCCCAAAACACTGACCCTGCTCCACAGGCGGGGTCCACAATGTCAGCCTTCTTCTCCTCCCCCCAGAAAAAAGAAAATATTAATAATTTATCTTCGAATCGACTTCTCTCTCTGACAGATTAGATTTTAACCATTTGATTTTGTTTGGACTGGGCGTTCCCATATTATTACTTAATGACCTTCCCAGCTGCTCCTGTCCATTTTCTGTCACCAGCAACCATCTGGACACTTATTAGCACCTCAATGCATCCACGCTGCTGTCCTCCCAAACTTGAATAAAATTAAGCTTGGTTGCAGACTGCCAATATTTTTTCCACTCCCATTCCCACAGTTCGTGAAATAAAAATTACTGAGCTCTCTATAATTTCATTTAGTTTATTAGGCAAAATATACGATCTGGACAAATTCCTTCAACGCTTCCTATTTACAAATTTAAATCACTTGGTATTTACATTAAAGAGTGGACACCAAAACAAGATAGAGACAATAATAATAATAATAGTAATAATAAAGTAAAAAGCCTACCAAAAGGTCCCAAACTGTCTGGGCAAAGTGGGGAGAAAGAGAGTAACATATAGGCGCGATTATAGGCTACACAACAATAGAGGAAGTAATCCATCCATCCACAGGATATTACCAAATTACGCCATTTGTTCTGTACCGACTGAATGCTACGCTGCATTATTATTTCTCTTTGTCCTTTTAAAGGAGTGTAAAGTCTTATTTTTCTGTTTCTTTCCTTTTCTTTTTTTATTCAAGCACGAAGAAGAAAAAAAAATCTCTTGATCAAGCCGAGGACAGAGCAGTGAGGACTCGTTGCGTGGCGTCTTGGGGACTCCTGGCGCTGGAAGGCAGAGAGGATCTGGATAAAGAATAATACAGAGAGGTAGATAAATACCCCCGTCGTGTTTGGACAGCGGGTTTCAATATGCATTTCAAGTGTCTGGCTGAACACTTCTGATCTGAAACAGATTGCAGTCTTGCTTTAAAAAGCCTCCCCAATTAATAGCGTACATTTCTAGAATAATAATAATAATAATAATAATAATAATAATAATGCATTGTTAATTATTATTTTAGAGCTCTAAAATATTTTAGTGTGTGGAAAAAGAAATCCTCGTTACGCAGCCATCACCAACGATCATAAATCACATAAATGCTTATTATTTGTATTGGACTGTTGAATCAAGAGAAAGAGTATTTTGTAATACTTGAAACAGAGGTAAACTTTCCCCCCTTACGGTAAGAGCACTCCCCTGGGCTCTGGGTCTCCCATGGGTCTTTAGGGAAAGCACACAGTCCAGACAGAGCCCGTTTTACTCGGTGACTTGATAAGTAGCCACACTCTCCCCAGAGGGGTGGAATTAAAGGGGGTGTGGGATGGGAGTCAAGACCTCTGTCACCCGCAAAGCAAACAGTGCTTTATTTGTCATGGCTTATTTTATTCTGCTCTGGTATTATTGTTATTATTATTATTATTATTATTATATTTTTAAGTAGAAGAAAAACCTGTTAAAACACACCTAACAGAGCTACCCAGACGTAAGGCACTGGAACTGGTTAAACAGTTCGCTTCCGTTTTTCTATGCTTAGGATTTTTATTATCAGTGTAATTATAATTTCATAAAGATCCAAGGCCTTCCATGACGTCCATATCAATTAATTGTCTATGCTTTATTTTGATATTATGTTTGGATGAATGCAATAACCCTAGCATTTGATTTGAATCATGTAATATAAGCTTGCGACTGATCCTTTTCTTTTGGCTACGTGCTTTCTACTATTAGCCAGAGCAAAAAAAAAAAAAGTAAAGAACATGCCTCACCTGTCATGGATGGCTCGAAAGGAAGACTTCAATGTCTGTGCCGGAGGTGAATCAGACCTTACACCGTTTTCATGGTCTTAAAAGGAAATAAGCAAAAACACTTATAAGTACAGTGGCATGTGGAATAGACTAGGCCTATCAATCGATGTGTCCTTTACTAAATTCAACATCCACGAGTTCCACCATTAAAAATAGGTAGGTAGAGTAGGTTCCACTCAAAATAAAATGCTTAGCGCTGGCAATCTGAACATGTGCATGTGCATGCGCAATGGATGTTATCCTACCTATGTGCTTAGGACTGTGGGTCTCTGGTGGGGCCTTGCTGTCATTGCTAAGCGCTGCTGCAGCTGCTACCGGCGACACTCCCACCAGTCAAGTTGTGGTTGTGGTGGTGGTTTACTCCCAGAAACGACCTCACATTCAGCAGGGAGTTCTGGCCCAGGAAAGCCCCATTCGTCCAGTTATGGAACTTTCCAATCTGGCAGGTGTACAGTCCATGACTGGGGAGGAAGGCCGGATGGGTTTGGATCTGGTGGTGGGGGGTTGGTGGGTGAGTGGTGGACGCTGGGCCACAAGGGGACGTGGGTTTCTGAGATGAACTATCGGGACTAGTAGCGGTCTCTGCTAAAGACCATATTTTAGGCTTATTGTTAGAAGGGAGAGGAAAGCTCCCGGGTCTGTCCGGAGAGAAAACTCTTGTGGTGTTGTTGTTATTACCGTCCGAGTTCTCCTTACTCCCTGGGTGAACTGAAATTGTGCTCTTAGATTTGTCAAAGGCCTCATGGGCCTGCAGGGCGAAGGCCCTTCTTTTCTCCAAGCTGTCCAGTTCTCCCCCTGCACCAACGCCGCCCCTGTGATCTCTGTTCCCCTCCGTTGATTTGTCATCATCATCCTCGTTGCTTTGATCTCCGTCGTTGTCGTCGATTTTGTCTATATCTATGCTCTCCAAATCAATCTCCTCCTCGTCTTCGTTTTTCTCCGCCTCGTCTCCACTGCCAAACAAGTTACCGTCCTCCCCGTCCTCTTTGCTCCGGCTTCCCCAGGTCACCTTGTTCTCCTTCTTGAGCCTCCTCCTGGCGTTGGCAAACCAAGTGGAGACCTGCGTCAGCGTCATTTTTGTAATGATGGCCAGCATGATCTTCTCCCCTTTGGTTGGGTACGGGTTCTTCCTGTGCTCATTAAGCCAGGCTTTCAGGGTGCTAGTGCTCTCCCTGGTGGCGTTCTTGGGCCTGGCTGGGTCCCCGTACTGAAACTGGCCGTATGGATAGAAAGCCGGCGAGGTGTGCGCAGCGAAGCTGGCAGGATGGACGCCTGGACTGTCCTTCAGTTCATACTGGGATCCCTTGAAAGTTAATAAAGAACAGCGCGTTACAGTGAGGCCATTCAATAGCAGTTTGACACACTGGTTAACAAATTAAATTCATTATGCTTCACAGTGTTGCTCAAATGCATTTGGCTGTAATTCAATTCAAAAGGAGTGAAATGGCCTCTATTAAAGACTCCAAGAGTTCCAGCTGCACCTGAACCCGAGCTTCCCACAAATAAGCTTCTCAACTTGCTACATACCACATGCTAGGCCTGCGGCACCTGCGCTTTCACAGCCAGGCTGTTCACTGAAAGGCAGGGTCCTGTCATTGACAAACATATTTCAGAAAATGTCACTTTAATAATCGAACAAATGCAGTGGGCAGGACGAGAGATCGTTGCATTATTGGGAACACACAGATGCCACGCAGGATTTCGTGTCGCCAAACTCCCCTCCACACTCTTCAAGTATGTCAAAACAATTTGAAGGCCTATGATAAGTTTTCCCGACATGCCCCTCGTGTACGTTCGTGCTGAATTTAATCCCTTGTCTCATGTCTACTTGATTTTGACGATCCTTTCAAGCAACCAACGAGGGTTTGGGATAATAAAACGCATTAGTGCAATACTCACTGCCTATGGACCTGACCACACATTAGCCCACTCATTAACAAAATAATTATTATCACTAGGGGTATTTTAGGCCAATAAATGGCTGACAATTATTCATGTAGGCACAGTAAAAATCCACGTGACCATGAATGACAGGATGATATACCACAGAACATAAAAACGCCTCTAAGATGAAAACCTGCTGCATAGTTATAACACAGTGTGTTATAGTCTGTTCGACGGTAAAGATGATTTCTAACCATCTGATCAAATAACTGACCGGAGCAGACTAAGAAGAAACTTTTTTTTTATTCCCATCGTGTCTGAAAAAAACGCAAAGCCATTGCACGTTTTCTTCGTTTGCAATCATTTTATCTGCATGAGTTAATAATCATATATTTTATTCATATGCATACAACATGTTACAACATGAACTACTTCAAGCCATATTTTTCTTTCTTTTTCTTAACATCTCCGGTCAAACTTTTCACATCACTAGCTCAGATAAACACTGAATTCAGCCAATGTCTTGTCAAAAATCGAACAAAAATATAGACTCATAATTATTAATGGACTTTAAAAAAATATCTAAATTTTAAAATGCATTTTCACGTATTGAGATAAACGCTAACTTGTGGATTTTCACACATGGACACTAAGCCGAGCGTCAACAAACATCTGTGCCACGCCAGTCTTTTCAAAGGGAATAAAACAACATTTAACCTTACCATCTGAGAGAAAAGAGCCAAGTCCGCGCTGGTGTAAGGTAAGAAAGCGCTGTAGTTGTGTGCATACGGGTTGGCGTACATGCCCAACACTGACGTGACCGCTCGCCCCCGTACACCGCCTGGGAGGCACTTAAGTACTGCGGGTAGCCTAGCTGCGGGAAAGACATCTCCACCGCCGAACTGTCGCACAGCTGTAGCGTCCGACAAAGTGTGGGTAAAAAGGGTATGCGAGAGGAAAAAAGACCAAAAAAAAGTACCCGGAGGAGAGAAGGGAAGGTGTATAAGCCAAAGTCACAGCTACTACAGACATACAGTGGTATGCAGTCAAAAAACAACCCGCTCTTAAATCTCGGCTTCCTGTCTTTTCTCGCGCAAAGTCCGCTGGATGTGATCTGATCAACAATTGCGCTCCGACTGACGCGCCTGGCCCTGAGGTCTCCCGGCTGATCTCTCAGATACAATTTGAAGTTGATGCTTTGATTGGCATCCCCTACTTGAGCCTGCAAGCTCCTCCTCGTTCGGAGCAATGTGGATAATGTGAATATAGAGTGAGCACATTGGCTGGGGCCCCGCTCTCCCTCTGCCCCTCCCTCCCTCTCCCCGCTCCCTTCTCTCTCCCCCCTCTCCCTCCGTGTTTGTACTTATTGTATGTTAAATGTTCAAGCATTAGAGTCCATTCACCGAAGGCTTTGATTGTTGTATGACAACCTGTCACACACGATTTTACAGCTGTCCGACACAGGGGGAAGTAAACCCGTTAGAAGGAGTTTGCTATCACGAGCTGTCGGTGCGTGTATTTAATTAACAGTGCATTTACTTTTAAAGTTTCTTTCTCCAAGTTGGATTTATTCTTTTCACTCTTCTTCATTTCAAAACTTATGGACGTGTTAAAGGGACCTAATCGTTTCATTGAGTTTATTATGATAGGACATTTAAAAACGGTTTTAATTAAATCGCTAAATAAACACTTTAATAAATTGTCTCTCACTAATTTATATTTTTGTGTAACTGCGATAAAATTAAACAGATCATTTAAAGAGACTTTACTTCCAAACGTTACAACATTTCAGAAAAAAAATGCAAATCTTTCCTGAAAATTAATTGATTATGTTTGTATTTACTGAGTTGTGTTTTAGTTGCATTAGATTTTTTTTTCTTAAAGGTTTAATAGGCTAGATCATCGCGTGCGTCTGTGTGTGTGTTCGACCAGATTGCTGTTGTCCTTTATAACAACAGAGCCACTTCACTAATTCTTGTTGTGGGTGAAAAGGAAGGAGGACAAGATAGAGACAAGTCCAACATCTGCAGGTCCCACTACACGCTGCCAAAATATTATCCACCCACATTTGACTTTCCGATTCTGTTTCATCCAATTTTCTATTCAAATTGCGTGATAATTCTTTGAGCACATTAAGTAAAAAGAAGACAAAGTTAGCGCCATAATCCGAAACCAGTTCACTATAAGTTAAACATGTTGAATTCTTAAAAAAGCACAGAACTGTAGCGTTTCATCGTTACATAGGCCTTTATACAGACAGTTTTTTCTTCTTATAGAAACGGAAAAATAGAATTCCACAAGAGCTGAATGTAAATAAATAAATAAGGAAGTACATATGGTGTTGTAGCGTTTGGTCACCTCCTCTTGAACCGCTTATCCAGTTTCCAGTTCAGAAAAAGAAAAGGCTCGGACACCAACCTCTGCTTTGCTCTTGTGGCTCGGGGCGGGTGGTGGTGGTGGTGGTGGTGGAGGGTGTCATGTTTTAACAGTTCCATTTTTATTTGATTCGATTCTTATATCACCCACATCCCAAGTCAAATGTGAGCATTTTGTAGCTCTAGATTTAATACCTTAACGACTGAAGCCCAAGCAGTCAGTAGATTCTGATCTGCACCAGATGGCTGCGAGTGGATATTGCCGAGCGCAGAGGATCTGTTAAAAATATCTAAGGGGCACTGATGGTAATCTGGATAACACATCAGAAGGGAGGGGAGGCATGGCAATGGTGATAAGCCGCTGGAAATGTGTGCAGGGGCTCAATGTGATGGTTAAAGTGGGTTGGTGGGGGGGGCATTGATGAGAAATTAAAATAATAATAATACATTAATAAAATCAAAATTTACTGGACTTGACTACCGACATTAAAATAAAGGTATGCTGTCATGTATTAATAATAATAATAATTGTTATTAATATTATTATTATTAGAACATTAGATTATGCCACCAAGCGTTAACAGATTTATTGGGGCTTGTTAAACTCTCATTACCACCAAGCTCCTCAGCTTCAACTCAGTGAGAGAGAGGGAGAGAGAGGATCCTGTCGCCGTCCTCCACCCCTGTTTAAAACTCGTGAACACCACGCTCCCCTCTAATACACTGTCTCGAAACAGATGGGCTTTCACCATCTGTATCCGCCGACGTGTGGCGCGCACGCGCGTTCACGCGCACACGTAACCTATACGTACAGTCATAACTTAAGGAAGCTTTCCTACTCCCTCCCTTTGTAAAAGGAACGAAAACCCTCAGGCTTCTGAAATCACATAGTTTTATCATGTAAATCTGCAGCAGGCTCTTCATAAGCTGTTATGCCTTAATGGCCACATTAAGGCACAGCAAGTTCTGTTTTTTTTTTACTCAGTAGCCCATTCTGTGCATTTACAATTATCTGTCACGGATTTTATCTCAACAGGTTTAGATACCTTCTGCAAAAAAATATGGCCACATTGTTTATATGTTATTGATATGTTATACATTTATGTATTTATGTAAAGTGGCATGGGAACTATAGCCAAAGTGTCACCTGTAATATCCCCCAATAAAGAGAAAGAATGAAAGGAGAGCTCAAAGTATATTGCTCTCTCTCTCTTTCTCTTTCATTCTCTGAGCAGGCATATTGTCAGTTGGTCTTTTGAAATACAGAAACTTTTATCATTACTCTAAAGCAGAAATAATGTTAAGTAGTACAGTATGACTACTGTACATCTTCTTCACACATATTTCAAGTATTCTGTCAAGTCTTTAGCACAGTTTTACAAAGTGCTTTATATCAAAACAGTGCCAGTGCTTTCCAAACCATAACAATCTATGGGTTATGATTTATGACCGATGTAAATGTCTGTCATAACTAATAAAATATGTGTTGCTTTGTAGCACCTGACCGAAGCTGCAATCTGCTATAAAAGGCATGCATTTTTAACTTTTGATTAAAATGTCAGCCACAAAAGTAAAACTAATAAATAAATAATTAAGAACATGTTATGGAATTTATATTGTTTAAAACAAAAATGTTAGTCTTGGATCCTGTTATTTATATTCAGCTGATATATGCTTGAACTCTAGGAAGCTGGCCAACACATAGATGTGAATGATTTCAACAGAAGTCAAAGAGTGAATGTGCACTACAATAACACAGTTATGTTGACAGTTGGCTACCACTGCAGAGGTCAAGGGTGTCTGTGTGAACTAATAACTATGGTGAAAGATACTGCTTTCCTGCCTCTGGGAGTGCCAAAGTTGAGGAAAGGTTAAGAATCTGCAGAATGTCGCATTTGTGCTTTTCTCACAGATTATCAAATTAAGTGTTGAAATCAAAACCCCGTTTCCCCCTGAAGAGAGGAGATTAGATGAATATCAATGATATCAATAGACCTATGCAACTGTTAGACCTCTTCCTTTTAACGCCGCACACAAACAAGCACACACTTATGAGCTGGCTCCAATGCACTCTGTGAACTGCGTCAGAGCAACTCAACTATTTAGCGGTGGGTTAGAGTCCGCTGGTGTTATTGTGAGACATTTGATACACACACGCCTGTACCACACCTTGGTAAAGAAACAAAAATTTCCTGGATAGTAAAACGGGTTATTCGGGGTCTGAGAAGGTCAAGATGTTTGCACTTGACAGATAAACCCTTGGAGGGGTGGTGTATCCCAGTTTTAGCTTGACAAAGAGCTTCTGGGCAGAAACTGTTACCAAATGTTAAACCGTTTTTTTTTTTAGTTTCAATAATGCGGTACATGTTTAATCCTGCAACAAGTAGTAAACTGTAATACGTTTTAATTCATCTGACTAGTCTCCCTATTTATAATACTAAAAATGTTTTTACATCACATTGATTGGGGTTTCAAATATACATGAATACGATTCACATACTTTTTTTTCTCTTGTGTTTGTCTCTTGATCATTGATCAGCCTTCCACTTGTCATGCTTGAAACATACCTGTAATTTTGCAGTTGTAACCTTTTTGCATATCATTGAATTTATGCATATATTTGAAATGAGATGAGCATCACATGGATAATAGTGTTTACACATTAGCTCAGTTAATTCAAGCTGCATTCAAGACAACCATGAGACTTGCATGCTGTTAAAAAGAGATTCATAAATGCTTAAAGTTAGCTATGCTACTGTAAGTAACATGACTTGCATTCCAATTACACCAATACATGTTGTGTTGTTTTGGTTTCATAACATAACCACAGTGTGTCTCATCCTTTAAGTTAGTTTTGAATAAAATTTTAGAACCTAATCTTTGCCTAACCTTATCCAAGTGCCATGCATTCATCAACATAACCATAAACACTCACTGTTTAGCTGCCATGAGCAGATACTGTAGCAAACAACAAATGAAACACACTAATGGCAAACATTTCACTGATGTGCTGAGTGTCAACATGTTGTACTTTTTTGACATATGCTAATTATTAGCCTTTCTTCATTATGTTGATAAAGAACATAACCTGAGGGGCATGACCTTTCACTGGAAATTTGCTATGTGGAAAATAACAGTTTGTGTTTTATTTTTGGGCTGAAATAGGTCCAAGTTGGTGAAAGTAACTCTTTGAAAGAGTACAACAATCCCTGGTACAGCAATTCAACAATGATGAGCTACTGCAGCAAAAACACTACTACTACCACCACTGCTGCTGAAGGTATAATAAAGATATAAAAAAAAACTAGAACAAACACTAAGCACAGAAGGTCTTACCTCATCAAGAGTAGGGAAAACAGCACTTCATTACTGCTGACAAGTTTCTTTTAATTCATTCTGGCTTCTACATACCATACAAAAGACAACAGCCAAAGATCTTACTTTTTTTCCTCCCCAAGGGCATTCTCAGGAGTGGGTAATGAACGGGTGGGCCCAGATTTTGATGTGGTTAGGGGCCAAAGGGAGAGAAATGTGAGAAGGGGTGTTAATTGTTTTGGCTCTTTGCTGGGGAAACATATCAACATTAGATCTAATGGAGGTTAAAGACTCTCATTGCCATAGGGGCTGGAGCTAATGAATAGCTAAAGCTAGCCAAGGAGAGGAAGACTGATGCAGGGAGAGGGGGAAAAGGAGGATGCAGCATTTACTGGCCTTAAAAGGCTTTTAATTATACTGAACTGAGTGTGTTGTGTTGAGTGTTGTGCTACCTACCTAAGAGAATTAATACTAAGAACAGATGGAAGCATTTATATTTGA